CCCGTTAAGGGGGGAGGGGGCGGGAAGGGCGTGGAAAGGGAGGGGAGGAGCAAGAGCACCGCGGAGGGCCCCGCCCACGCCACGGCGAGCGGTTCCGGCGAGCCCGGCTCTGAGAATCCGCTCCAGGCCGCTCCCGACCACGAGCCGCTTCACAGACGTCGGCCACCCTCCGTGCTTTCCCTTCAGCCCTTTGTGTCCCGGTGCGCGTCGGAGAACGCGCGCTGCGCCCTCCGCCTGCGCAGGGGACGGACGCGTGAGGGCCGGAGCCAGAGTAGGCGTGGCTCTCGCTCGCCCCGCCCCTGCCCGCCATTTCGCGCTTCTGCACGTTGCCGGGACCCGCGTGATGGACGCCCGGAAACCGGTGCAACAAAGGCTGCCTCGCCAGATTCCCGGACCTTCCGGGTTCTTAAGGTGTTTGGGGTGCGAAAATGGCGCCTGCGGCCGCGGCAGTGTCTAAACGTCTGGCAAGTGCACGGCCTGGGGCGTGCGGAGCCCTTGGCGCGCCCCTTCGCGTGCATGGCGTCGCAACTGCCACTCAGCGCACACGCACAGCGGCGTGTGCTCTGCCCGCTGCCGGGCACGCGTGGGTGTCCGCGCAGTCCGAGTCTCGCGAGGCAGCAGCGCTCGCGCCGCGCTCCGCACGTGTGTGCTGCTCCCTCCCGCCTTTGCACGTGCATGGGCGCGTGCATGCGTGAGCCTGGGTTTGCAAGGCCTAGGAGGTGTACAAAGCCTACGCGGCCCGCCACTCGTTCTACCTTAACTTTTTTCCTGTCCTCACCAGTGATCGGACTGTGGCGGCAACCCGACCTGTGCAAGGGAACACGCAGTGGCAGTGATTTAGAGCCAGGGCCATGGGGACCAGAAAAAGCTCAGGGCGTCGTGGTGCTCTCTTGGGGAGAAGCTGCAGCAACGAGGCTCACTGCGACTTCCTGATTCAGCTGCCTTTGCTAAGGGGAGAGACCAGGTTTAGGCTACTAACCCCGCGGGGACCTCCTGGGAGCAGGGGCGCGGGTTCTCGGGGATCCGGAGCTCTCCACACATGTAGCCCCTGCTCGGTTGCATCGGATCCAGGGGCGCTGGAACCCCCATCACCAGCAGCTTCAGTAGCTGGGAAGCGTCAGAGAGCAATGACAAAGTTCCCATGGCAATGGATATTCACTTCTGCTAGCTGATCCTAGGGACAGGCTTTTGGCTGTTGTTTTTGTTTCTTGCACTGTGTCCTGGACCACTGGGCTGCCCTTAGACAACTCTAGTGACCTTGTCTGAGAAAAATTTTTAAAGGGCTGCTGGTATGTAGCTCAGTGCAAAGGCCCTGGATTCAGTCTTTAGTGCCAACCATATAAATAAATATCTAAAAACTCTCAGTCCGATGTGCTCCTGTAGTTCCACTGCCTGGGGAGCCTGAGGCAGGCAGGAGGATCACTTTAGCTCAGGGGTAAAGACTAGCCTGGGAAACATGGCAGGAGTCCATCTCAAAAAAACCAAACCTGAGGGTTGGGGATTTAGTTCAGTGGCATAAGTGCCTGCCTTGCAAGTGTGTGGTCAGGAGTTTAATCCCCTGTACCCGTGAAAAAGACGAAAAAATTTAAAAAACCCCAACTCCTCAGAGGTGCTACTGCCTTCCCATGGGAACCCCATCTCCACAGCATTACCACCTGTCTGAAAAGGTTTAAAGAGAGAGAATGAGCCAGCAATGGTAGCACATGCCTGTCATCCTAGCACTTGAGAGGCTGAGGCAAGGATTGCCGTGAGTTTAAGGCCTTGCCTGGGTTACACAATGAGTTCAAAACCAGCCTAAATTATACAGCAGGACCCTGTCTCAAAAACAGAATGATTACCACCACATGGATGGCCCTGCAGTGCAGGCCATGCCACTTCCATCTGAGATGAAGATTTTTTTTGTCACCCAAAGGATTGTTTTGGGAGAAGGGACAAAGTCTTGCTTTGTGGCTCATACTAGGCCCGCCTGAACCTTGGATTGAGTGATCCTCCTGCCTCAGCCTCCTGAGTAGCTGGAACTACAGGTACTTATCTCTGCTGGATTTTACATCTTGCATTAGGAGAGGAGTGGGCATGAATGGGTGGCACGTCCCCTCCTCACAAAGGAGTGTCTCCAGAGGCCCAGCGGTCATCTCCAGGTCTCCACACTCCCAGCCAGCAGGGGGAACCTTCCGGGCAGGGGGCAGAGGACCTGGTCACCCAGCTGTCCCTCAGGCTGGGACATCCTGAGTGCTCTCTGCGGCCGAGCATCCCTATCAGCTGTGGTTCTGGATCACCCAGGAAGCCAGGCCTAGCCGGCTGGGAACACTCAGTGCCTGGCTGTCACTTCCAGCCCGCCTGGGCCTGGGGGCACACCAGGCAGCATCTGGTGGGGACTTCTCTGTCTTTACCCACTGAGGACCCCGCCCTCCAGAGGACCATCCCGAAGGCGGGGTCTCCTGCCGAATCCCGGGCAGGGTAGGGAATGGACCCTCTGCTTCTGTGACAGCACTGGGGAAAAAAGCCAGTTCCTTGGGGACCGTGTGGCCCCTGGGTAGTCCCTGCCACCGCCTCGAGGGGCGGGGCGAGGGCTTCCCGGGATCCACCCTGTCAGTGCCCCAGGGGACAGCAGTCCCAGCCCGCCCACTTCCTGTCTCTACTCCACCACCCAAGTCTCGGCCTCTGGGCGGGGCCTCAGGGTCCCGCCCAGCCTTGGGGCGGGTGGCCTGGGTGGGGACCGATGGGGGAGCTGCGGCTGGAGACACAAACATTTCCTTATGTGGTGCTCCGAGGCCGGGACACTCCCTAGTGGTCACGGCGACCATGGCGGTGAGCGGGGCCGGCAAAGCCCCCTGGCCTCACTGTCCTGGCGCGGGGCATCCCTGCTCGGCCGGACTCCTCCCCAGCTGTGCTGTGGTTGTGGGATCCCCCAGCCTGCCAGACCCGGGGCACAGAAGCAGCACCCTGTTTCCACGGCCTTGGGAGCTGTTTGGCCGAAGGGGATACTCGGGTGACTCATGGGGTGGCCCTGGGAGGGGAAGTGGAGGAGTTGTGTGACTAGAAGTTTCTGTTTCTGTTCCCAAGGCTCCTGCAGGTCCCAGGCTGCTTGTGTATTTGTTTTGGCGGTGCTAAGGATTGAACCCAGGAGCCCGTCCTCCTTTCTAAATTTTAAACCAGGCAACCGGGTGTGGTGGCACACGCCTGTAATCCCAGCACACTGGAGGCTGAAGCAGGAGTCTGTAGGATGAGGCAGGCAGCTTCAGTTTATTTTTGAACCCAGTTAATTTATCTTTTTTTCTTTTTCCTGTAAGGGCAGTGTATTTATTTGTATTTTTTGCTCCTCCCCAAACAGCATATCTGGGCAACTCCACCTTCGAGGGGTCCCTCCTCTACATGTAGAGAGTCCCCTTTTGGGGAGAGTGGCCACCTGTGGGATTGGTGGTTCTCAGCGAATGTGCCAGCTGAGGCTTGCCAGGGGCTATCCCTGTTACTCCCTGGGGACAGTTTCCAGCACATTCTCCTCCCTTTCATCTGCTGCCACAACCAGATTGCAAGCTGCATTTTTTTCCCGAGACAGGTCCGGCTATGCAGCTCAGGCTGGCCTGGAACTTAGAGAAGGCTTGCTGCCTCGGCCTTTCTAGTGACTACTGAGATCCCAAGTGAGTCCCCACCTCAGACTCAGTTCTGATTCTGAGTGAGCTGTTGGAAAGGGACCTGGTGTCAGCAGTGACAGAAGGAGGTGAAGGCCAGCACCTGGGTGTGGGCCCCAGGTGGCCTGGTGTATACTAGGATATTCATTCCTTCCCTAGAGACCAGTCACACCCAGGTGCCTGGAGAGTGGCCAAGACCTGCTGCCAGCCCAGCCTTCTCTGGCCCTGGTCCCCTCCCAGCCTTCTCCCTTTCCATGGCCACTCATTCGCAGTTGCCAGCCAGCCTTCAGGGAGGGCTTTCCCTGTCCCTCTGCGCCTATCTTCCTCACAGGACCCTTGGTCCACCTGGGGCCCAGTTCTGATGTTTACCCTCCAAGAGAGGAGAGGGAGACAGACCCCAGTTTGAAGCTGCCTCTCTAAGTGGTCCTGGGCAAGTTTCTGCACCCTCTAGGATTCAGGTCAGCCAGTGTGGTGCTGCATACCTGTCATGCTAGCACTCAGGACACAGAGGCAGGAGCACTGACGCAAGTTTAAGCCTAGCCTGGGCTATATAGCAAGATTTAAAAAAACAACAACAAAAAAAAAAGAGAGCTGGGGATTTAGCTCAACGGCTTAAGGGTCTGCCTGGCAAATATGAGGTTGTGAGTTCAATCCCTGATACAAACAAACAAAAAACAAAAAATTTTGTAGAAGGTGAGAGGCATGTCTGGAAACAGAGCAGCCAAGAGGGGCCCTCCCTGCTGGACCAAGATGGCACCTCCATTGATAGTCGGGTGATGTTTCCCAGAGTGCTTCACAGGGCTTCAGCCCAAGGGGCAGATGTGGGAATCCTGGGATCCTCAGCATGTGTGTCACTCTTCCTCAGCCAACAGGGATCCCCACATTTCCTTTGACCTCCCAGCTGCCCCCACCCTGGGCATCTCCACCCAGAACCTGGGCCTACATGGCAGCCAGCCATTAACTCCTGGCCAGGTTGCTGGGAGTTAGGGAGTATGTGTATGTACACACACACACACACAAACAAACACACACGCCTCAGTATGACAGAAGGGTGCAGAGAGCTCCCCCAGGTGGCCGAACAAGCCCAGGCCAGAAAGTGGGGAACGCTGTAAGGACCTGTTGCAGATGTCCGGACTGGTTTAGACCAGGTGTCTGTCTGGGGTTTGGAAAATCGGGTCACCTGGGTCTGTGTCAGAGTCTGCACCAGGCTAGAGAGGTGTGCAGCCCGAGAGATGGAAACTGCTTCCCGGCACAGGTGAACTGCTGGCTGTAGCTGGTGGTGGTGCATACCTTGCAATCCCTGAGTTCAAAGCCAGCCTGGGCTACATAGCAAGACCCCATCTCAGAAAAATAATTCCCCTTCCAAAAACGTACTGCAGGGTGTCCTGTATTACAGGTGTATACATGGTCCAGAAGAACCACACAGAGACCGAGCTGGGAGCGAACACCACAACCATCACCGAGCATGCGCCTTCTGGGCACGCCTGCCTTTCCTTCTCAGCCTGGGAGGCAAGACCTGCCCAAGGGGCAGACCAGGAAAGGGCTCTGGGGAGTGAGCCTTTGCCTGAATTCCATGCGAGGGAGATTTGCTCTCCTGCCTGTCCACTTAACCAGCCCAGGTCGACAATCAGGGTGACAAGGACTTGGTGACCAGGGAGGTGTTTGCCAAGGAGGGCCTGTGACTCCTCCTTACCTAGGGCGCGGACAGGGTAGCGGGTGTCTTGCCAGGGCAGGTGCAATGACGACAGGCAGGTCACACCAGCGCTGTGAATACTCCTACAGCGACAGGAGAAACTCACTCTCTCACCTGCGGCCACCGAGAGGGTGTGCAGAGTCCCAGCTATCAACGAGAGTGGGGTAGTGACAGACCACAGCCTTCCCTGGCCCAGGTCCTCAGGGCCCTGGTGACCGTCACACACAGAGGGGACAGCACTCTAAAGCGGCATGGGTGCGCGCGCACACATAGGGCTCCGCCCACGAAGACATGGCCAGAGGATAGAGCCAGCCGCCATCTGTCCCAAAGGGCCAGCATTCGGCCTCCTGCACGCGCAGCCCAGCTCACGCCCGCGCTCGGGGTACGCACGCTGGGCAGGAGCTCGGCGGGGCGCTGGCCCCGCACCTTGCCCCCCCACCCCTCATGGTTCGGGTGCCCTGGCTCCTGGATAACCCCTGGGCGGCCCAGGCCCGCAGTGCGCACGACAACCAGAAGGGGGCATGTGAGCACTGGCGACGCTTCTGCCCCCTTGAGAACCTCACTCTCGGTTCCCGGCCTCCCGCGCCCATTTTGTGAAGCCTGCGGAAGGGTGTAGGGGGGGGAGGCGGCAGAGAAGAGGACACCGGTCCAGGGCCGCTCGGCCATACTGCAGAGTGCATGGGGGTCCTGGCCGGGGTACCAGGTCGCGAACATTTAGAGACACCTGGGTGTCCACCGCGTCCCGTGATGTGGCCGGCTTTGCAGGGATCACTGGGCAGTTGGCGGTAGTGTGACGAGGCGACCAGAGTGATTCCCGGGCTCCGCGTTCTGCAGGGGCTGAACACCCACAACTGCGCCCTCCAGGGTGGCCGGCAGGGTCACATGGTGCGGGGATGGCTCTGGGCCGCGTAACACCCCCCGGGCCAAGCCTGTCTGCCACCTGACAGACTGGGGAAACCGAGGTGCCGTCAGCAAGGAGAGGTTCCAGCGTGGCCCGGCGGAGTCCAGGGCCGCAAAGGCTTCAGAAACTCTGGCAGAGAAGGGACACAAGGCCTAGTTTTCACGGCGGGCTGGCTCAGCCAGATGGCAGGGACAATCAGCGGTGGCCTAGACGAGGACACATAAGAGCCATGGCCAATCGTGGCGGAAGGTGGTGGTGGGGTTTCTGGAGAGGATAGAGACCCGCAGTGCTGTCTCTGGCTCCTCCCCGGGGCACCCCACTCCCTCAGCCCCCCATCCCGGCACAGTACCCGGGCCGCGCCCACGTCACGCACACGCCGCAACGCGCACACGCACGCAGAGAGACTCGACGCCCATGTTCCTTGGGGGCTCCGTCCGATCCTCGCAGCTGCCCAGGGCCCCTTCCCTGGTTCCCACGTCCCGACCAGCCCAGGACTTCTGCTGCGATCTGGGCTCCGCTCTCTGCCCACCCTCTACGCCAGCCAGCGGGCCCTTGGTGGCTTCTAAGGAGCGGGGGTCTCGGTCCCTTGAGGATTGGGATCCTGGCGCTAGGGATGGGGAGAGGGAGGCCTGCGCAGAGGACTGGATCCCGCAGGGTGGGGGGAGCGGGGACACAAAGGGCGCCGTACACCTGGTGGCCCGTGGCCCGCGCCCGCCAGTCTGGATTCAAAGCGGAGCGGCGGCTGTGATTGGCGGCCCGGCCAGAGCCCCTCCCTTACCCTCCTCCCAGGCAGCTGGGAGATCGGATGGAGCGGGAAGGCCCTGGCCCGTCTGTGCCCAGGCTGGTATTCAGCTCAGTTAACACTGGTGTCCCCGACTCCGCGGGGGCCGCGTTCGGTGCTCTGGCTCAGCCACGGACGCCACGTCCCTCTGGGCTGCAGGGCTCTGGCCATCCAGTCACCCTCCCTTCACACCCGAGCCTCCTCCACTGTTTCCTTTTACCCCGAGCCCGTCCCCTCTTGCATATCCCTTGTCTTGACCCTCACCTGCCCAGCCATCACCCTGGGATAACTTTCCGGGCCCTCGCCCCTACCCAGGTGGGCACACTGACCCTCTTGTGCCCGTCCCGTACCCTGCTCCGCCCCGGTCTACCGACGCCCGATGTCTGAGCCCAGGACCCCCCGATCGGACAGCCTGCCGGGGGAGCTTCGTGACCGGGCTGAGATGAGCGGCGAGGGGCTCTCGGGACAAGGGGCCGGATGTGCATGCGGGTCCAGGCCGCGCCGCCGCGGCGCAAACGTTGCGTCGTGTGCATGGCGGGGGCTCGGGCTCGGTAGTGAGGGGCGGGGCGAACGCGAGGGCCCTAGGCCGCGGCCAATGACGGTTCGGCACGGGCCCCCAGCGGCCGCCAATCACCGGCCCGCCACCAATCACTGTCCGGCCGCTCCGCCCCGCCCGCTGCGTCCTTTGTTCGCTCTGCCCTGGGGCCGCTGCGGACCCGACCCTGCGACTTCCGGCTCGCATTTCCCCGCGCGTGGCATCGTCGGTGCGTGGCTTTGCACACTCGTGTGCCCACGGATGCAGTACAGGGCCGAAGCCGCAGGAGACGGCCGGGCTGGACCGTGGTGCAGCCCGACCCCTTTCCTTTCCCGCTGCAGAGCCTCCGGGGTTCATCCTGTGCTGACCTGGGGTCGCAAGTGCTGTTCCTGGGCCTCCCTTCAGTTCGCTCTGAGGGCTCGGGGACGGTGGCCCGCAGTGGTGGCCTGCGTGCATCACGGCCTGATACAGCGCCGGGCCTTGCCACGGCCCAGCCTGAGGCTGATGGAGCTACTGTCACTCATTGGAACCTCAGTTTTGTCATCTGTGAAGTGGGAACAATTCCAGGATTGGTGTCAACTTTTCTTTTGTGTTTTGTTTTGAGAACAGCTGTCTCTAGGTAGTCTGGGCTGGCTTCTAACCCAAAGCAATCCTCCCCTCAGCCTCCAAGTGCTGAGATTATACTTGTGCACACCACACCCAGCTTGGCGTCACCATCAAGGATTAGGCAGGGGACAGACCTGTAGTAAGGTTCAGAGAGCTAACATACTCTGAAGAACAGACTGTCTGCTTGGCGCCATGACACCCATCTGCACAAGCCCAGCCTCTACCAGCTCCTCCTCTGCCAGCCTCCAGCCCCAACATAGGGGACACAAGTCAGGGGACACGACCTTGCTGCCCCTCCCCTCCCGGGTCCTCTCTCTTCACCTCAGCTCTCTTAAGAAGAGGATGAGACCTCTGCCTCTCCCCTTCCTCCTCCCATGGGGTCATCCTGCCCATCCTGGGATCCTCTTACCCTAACAGCTGCCACATCTGTCAGAGATGTGGGTGTCACCCCCTCCTGACCCCACCATGCACTGTACCAAGTCTGTACCCCTTGCCTGCCTTCCTGCCCTGTGCCTCAGTGATCCACAGGGCCCATGTGCCTCAGTGCACAGCGCTGTGACCGGCATTGCCACCAGCCCTGCCCACCACCTGGCCTCTTCCATGGCATGCACACAGGCACTTCACTTGTTTCCTTGTTTTTCTGGTTTTTTGAGACAGGGTCTCCAGGCTACTCTCAAACTCTGGCACGATCCTCCTGCCTCAGCTTCCCGAGTGTTGGGATTACAGGCATGCACTACCACACTAGATAGTTACTTCACATGCAGTTTTGTTTTTTGTATGTCTCTCCTGGGAATTGAACTCATGATCTGATGCTTGCCAGGCAGCAGGCAGGTGCTGTGCTGACGAACCCCCCCCTTCTAGGTCGGGGTGACCCCAGGACCATTGCCCAGGCCTCTAGAGACCCCTCACTGTGCATGGCCTTGACTTTTACAGTCTACTCTTCGATCTTCCCAGGGCGGAGAACCGTCCGTGGTGCCCATTGAGACCTGGATGAATCCCCCTTCTCCGAGGTGTGCTCGGCTCCATGGCCCTCCTCTCTCTGCCCTCACCTGGCGTGGTCGCCTCCCCGCTGCTCCAGTCAAGCTCAGCCAGGCATATGCAGTTCTTGATGTAGGGGAAGAAGTGAGGGAGCAGTGCCACAACAGAAGCAGGGGCCAGCACGGGGGACAGTCAGGAGCAGCTGTGGCTAGGGAGCCGGTGGGGAGGTGTGGCGCTGTGACTTGGCTCCATTGCTCACCCTCTCTGGGTTTTTTGGTGTCTGGACTCGGCTGGACGGGGAGTGGGGGTGGTGGGGGTGGGCTGGTTCTCCAGGGCCCAGGCTTCTGAGCCACAGCGGGCAGGGCTGGACAGCAGAGGCTGACAAAGAGCCAGCGGCTGTTTGCACACAAACCCCAAATCCATGAGTGGAGAGGGGATGGGTCAGGCTGGGGGCAGCTTGGCAGGAGCTTTTGCTAGTGGAGAAGCCCCCCTGGACTGTGCCCTCCCTCTGCGCCCCCGCTCTGGGCTGTGTCTTGGTCTGGGCCTGGGTTCTCCGTGCCGGTCTCCAGCCTGCTCCTCAGTAGCACAGGGAAGGGCCTGTGTCTAGGGCAGCCCCTGGTCCCTTTCAGGGCTCTTGGCCCCAGGGGAAGCCAGGGAGGCACCTTCATCTCTCAGAATCTGAGCCACGTTGTGGGGAGTCCGCGAAAGCCAGGGGGCGCCTGGGAAGGGCGTTCCCCTTGCAGCCCGTCTTGCCAGCGCCCACAACCTGCCGCTCTGTGGGTGCAGCTGACAGGCCCAGCTGCCGCCCCCTCCCTCCGTCCGAGCACGGTTGGGGAGGGGCTGGGGGCCCAGGCTCCATCTTCAGTTTCTGCTTTCCTGGCTGCCAGCTCCTGCCAGCACCTGTGCCCAGAGGAAAGGGGTCACCCCTAGTGGGCCTGGCTGAGCTTGACTGGAGCAGCAGGGAGGCGACCACGCTGGGTTGGGGCAGAGAGAGGAGGGCCATGGAGCCAAGCACACCTCGAAGAAGGGGGATTCATCCAGGACTCAATGGGCACCATGGACGGTTCTCCGCCCTGGGAAGATCGAAGAGTAGACTGTAAAAGTCAAGGCCATGCACCACGAGGGGTCTCTAGAGGCCTGGGCAGAGGTCCTGGGGTCACCCCGACCTAGAAGCCACTTCAACCCTATCTGTCCCAGCTTTTTAGGCTGTGTCCAGGGCATGTGAGAGCTGCCCTGCTGGTTGGCCATGAAACAGAGGGGATGCTGCGCTCCGTGTGGCCAGGCAGGTGGCAGGGAGCAGCAGAGCCCATTGCGAAGGCATTGCTGGACTCCTGCACAACCATGCTGGGCCACCGGGGCAGGGTAGGATGTGCCATCTACTTATTTATAAATTTATATATTTATATGTTTATATGGTTTTTTTTTTTATCGGTACTGGGAATCGAACTCAGGATCACCTGCTTACAAGGCAGGTTCTTATGTTGCTGAGCTAAATCCCCAGCCCTTATATGTTTACATGTTTATATATTTGAGACAGGGTCTGGATACATAGCCCAGGCTGGTCTCAGATGTGCACTCCTCTTCCTGCGTCAGCCTCCTGATTGGGCCACCATACCCAGGCACATCCTCGAGGACCTGTGTTGTTTGAGATGGTGGAGAGAGGGCCTTGACCTGAGTGGGCAGAGGCTGCAAGGACTCCAGAATCCTCTCAAAAAGCCAGGGCACCACTGGGGAGAACGCAGAGGGCCTTAGCAGCTGCACTGTCAGCCTGTAGGTCTGGAGCAGGAGGCTGGTGGAAGGGAAGCCAAGCTGCACCTGTCAGGCCCGGGGAGTGTGCGTGTGTACGTTTGCGTGTCCCCCGGCACCGGGCCCTGAGAATGGCAAATGGTCACTAAGACCCCAAGGCTGGTGCCGAGGTCAGTCTGGTGCCACCCGGCGAGGGGACCAGGCTGGCCAGGGCCCAGGGCCTTTCCCGGCCCACCCTCTGGACCACAGAGGCTGCATTGATAGCACAAGGGACACCCAGAGCTGCTGCAGCTGGCAAGGCGTGGGACCCGCTGACCCGGGAGTTGGCATCAGGACGCCCCTGCTGGCCGCGGCCAGGACCCAGGTGTGTGCAGCAGAGCTGGGCACCCCGGAGAGCGTGTCCTGGTCCCAAGCATCCCTGTGCAGCAGGTGGGGCCACTCAGGGTGCAGACTCTGTCCCCCTCCACACTGGACTTGCACACAGGCAAGCTTGGCCGCCCGGACGTCTCACCAGGCTTAGCTGGGACCTTCTGGCCTTGCTTCCCATGCAGGGGCCCCCCCCCCCCGTGCGCCCATTCCCCTCTCTGATTCTCTGCTGTCCATCCATAGCCCCTTCCCCCCACCACTCCAGCCTGCCCATCTGCATAAGGCTCTTCATTCCCCCCCCCCCGCGCGTGCAAGTCTCAGCTCTGGCCACCTCCTCCGGGGAGGCCTCCTGGACCACACCGTAGGCTCCTCAGGCGCTCCTGCACTTTGCAGGCATGCACAGCTAGCCCCGAGAGCTCGCCGCACACCCCACAGGGCCGCGCCCGGGAAGCAGCTGTGTGCATAGATGCCTCCGCCGGCAAAGACCTGCACCCACGCGAACACACAGAAACACACGCACACTCCATGCGCACACATCTGAGCACGGAGGCGCACCACGCACACAGCCACATCTGCACGCGCCGACGCATCTGCGCACGTAGGTACAGTCCGCTGTGCACACAAACACACACAGCGGCACCCGCACGGGTTGTGCACAGGCACAGCTGCAGACACGCACACTCACGGCCCGCAGCACCGGAAGAGGACGCTGCTCCCCGCCCTGGGGAGGTCTCTTCCCGCCAGAGGGCGCCCGAGGCCCCTTCCCGCCCGGCGGCCGCGGGCTGGCAGCGAGAGCGCGTGGTCGCCACCTGCCCTCCGGTCCAGGTCCTCTTTGTTCCCAGGTCCTTTTTGTTCCGAGGTCCCAGGAGAAGGCCCCCGTCCTGGGGACACCCGGCCGGAGAGTCCCATGGGCTCAGCTCCGTCACGATCGCCCCAGCCCGGGGGATGCGCATGGGGACTAGGGGTAACAGGACCAGGCTCCAGGCAGACGCCCGGTTCAGCACGGCAGCCACCTCTGAGCGCGGAGCGCCACCGCCACCACTGCCCATCCCCGCAAGGCCGCGCAGCAAGCCCCCAACTCCTGGTTGTCCTTCCCAAACGCTCTGCGCTGCCCTCGGGACGCGCTTCTCCCACGCATAGCCGCCAGGGCGATCTTCAGCCTCCCGTCTTCCTCCGTGCCCAGCTCTGCTGCCTAAGACCGCAGCCCAGAACCCCACCTCCCTGTGACCTTGAAGTCTTGCAGAGCCGCACTCCTCCGCCACTTACAGAAGCCTGGGCCAAGATTCAAATTTTTTCACCCATAAAATAGGAACCCAAAATAAAAAAACAAAATAAAATTGGAATCCTTGGACCAGATGTGGTGACACACATTTATAATCCCAACATTTCAACATTTGGGAGGCTGAGACAGGAGGATCCTTGTGAGCTCAAAACCACCCTGGTACACAATGCGACCCGGTCTCAAAAAACAGGAAAACAAACCAGACATTGGTGGGGCATGCCTATAATCCCAGCACTCAGGACGCTGAGGCAGGAAGATTGCCGCGAGTTTGAGGCCAGCCTGGACTACACAGGGAGACCCTGTCTTTTTTTTTTTTTTTTTTTTAACCGGGGATGGAACTCATGACCTCGGACTTGGCAGGCAGGCGCTGTGCCACTGAGCTAAATCCCCGGCCCCTGGGAGACCCTGTTAAACAAAACAGAAAAACAAAACAAAACAAAGCCACATCTCGCTAGTCCCTGCCTCACAGGTGCCCTTGGGGGCGGCACACGTGGCCGTGGTCCCCGGCGTCCCCCCCTCCCCCTCCCCCCGCGCGCCCCTGCTCTGGCTGCTGGGGTCACTCGGCCTGCGGGGGGGCGGGGCGGCCGCGTCCGTGACGTCAGCCGCAGGCCTTGTTTTCCGAGGCATTTGTTTCTCCCGGACTTGAGTTTCTATTCCTGGTCGGGCCGGGCCCCGACCTGGCTGTGCGCCGGGCCTCGCTCGCTTCCTCCGTCCTCCCGCCGCCCCCCGCGCCCTGGGACGCCTCTGCCCCCGACCAGCGCACTGGGCAGGGCCCAGGGGCTCCCCTCGGGGGACCGGCGGGTCCTGGGGGTCCGGAGGGCATGACGGGGCGCCCACCCCCACCCTCTGCCCTTCCAACCGCCCCCTCGTGAGCTCCATGTCCACTGAATTGGCTTGGTGAGGAGCAGGGCGCTTGGGCAGCCAGCAGCCCCTAGGTTACCGCTGGGCGAGCCTTGTGCCCCTTCGTCGGGTCCCCTCCTCCTTGCCACTCACCTAGCGGCGAGTGGGTGCGCCAGGGCGACCCCTGAATAAATGAGTGCATGAATGGACGGACAGATGGATGGACAGACGAATGAATACGTGAATGAATGAATGAATGAATGAATGAATGAACAGATGGATGGATGGATGGATGGATGGGAGGACAGACGGACAGAAGGATGGATGGACAGATGAAAGAATGAATGAATGAATGGACAGATGGATGGATGGATGGACAGATAGATGAGTGAATGAATTAATGGGCAGATGGTTGGGTGGAGATGGATAGGTAGATGGGACAGATGGATGAAAGGATGGATGGGTGGATGGATGGATGGATGGATGGACAGACCGATGGATGGATGGACAGACAGATGAATGGACACATGGATGAATGAGTGGATGGATGAGTGGATAGGTGGATGGATGGGTGGACGGACTGATGGATGGTTGGACGGACAGATGA